CTGTAAAGTCTTTGAGATGTAGGTGTGTAGACACATCAAGTGCCAAGCTAAGCATTAGAGCTCCTCCATTAGGACTAATTCAGACATTAGGCCTATTGCATAAAACCTGTTTCAGTTGCTACCCAGGTAAGTATGAGATTAGTTTGAGCAAACTCTGTTTTTTTGTCCTCTAGAGTAGACAGTGGATTGTTTTTTTGTTGTGTTCATTGTCATGGTAACTTACACTACAAGGCTAACCTGCTTCCGAGCAGGTTTTATTCTAGGTCAGAGATCGCAAACCAAAACTGTGAGCAAAGTGACATATATGTATATATCTGATGCAATAAAGCCACTGCCCCTTTATCTCTTGCTCCAAATTAAACTAGTTTACAGTGAAAGAATTTTAGAGACAAGAATTTTTGCTGCTAATTATTTATTGTATTTATATTATATTAATTATAATGATTTAGAATTAATTTAATAGTCATATAATAATTATATGAATTAGCAATTGATATTAAACTTTTAATTATTTAAATTTATATAAATATATACATATAAATAAGCTTTAATGTATAAACCTTTTAAAATGACTAAGCTTAAGTGTTTTCTTTTGAGCTCTTTGTGAGCCTATATAAGTTATTAAATACAGGTGATTTATTTGCATTGATATAGTCAGATAATTTCATTCAGCTGTCTTCTCAAACTTACGCTGCAACAGCAGTGGTTATTCCTGCCTTGTAAATGCATTTACAATCATTATTTTTAATAAGGATATCTGTTAGTCTTCGACAGAGAAGTGAATTGCCCTGGCTCTCACCTGAGAAGTGACTCTCTGCATGGTTTGTATTTGCTGCATGTGTCACACTGCAGTTAATTACTCTGGATTTATCCCCAAGTTGACAGAAAGTTTATATTGAGCATTGTGAGCCAACTGAACCTGATCTGAACTGGGTAGGATTTGTTTGGTTCTGTCAACTCCAAACCAACTCTGAAACTAGTTTGTTCAGCTAGCTTCATGCAACAGGCCACTTAGTCACAGGCTTTAGGATCAATAAACAGCAGTCTATTTCTAGGAGCCCTTATTTATATGAAGCATGTAGAATTAATTTGTCAAAAGTATATTTTTGTTTATTGTTCATCAGCAGCACACCTGTATAAGGGTTTGACCTACCCTCTCATCCCAGTGGTAAACTCCAGGGGAAACGTCTCGGTTACGTATGTAACCCTCGTTCCCTGAAGGAGGGAACGGAGACGTCACGTCGGATGACCGACGAATTGGGATCTCGCTTAGAGAGACCAATCCACTTCGAGTGTAAACTAAACGAGCCAATGCACATTGGCATGCGATTATTGCATCCAGCTGCTGCTGATCACAGCGTGAGTATAAGTAGGCAGCAGATGCAACGCATATTCAGGTTTTCGCTGAGGAGAGTTTACACTCGAAGTAGATTGGTCTCTCTAAGCGAGATCCCAATTCGTCGGTCATCCGACGTGACGTCGAGAGTGACCGACTGAAAGGGAACGGATGGCTCACAGCAGTCATATGTTTGTTTTATGAGGTTAGGCTGCCCTCTAATGGAAAAACAAGAGACTACAGCTTGAGTCTGTATTCAGTCACAGTCCAGACAAGAAGCACAAAGTAAGTCTCATTTTCATTCAGCTTTATGTTTAAGTTCTCTGTTTTCTCCTGGTTTAACATATACAGAATGAATGAAGTGTGAATATGAAAAAAATGGCATGTATATATGAAAAGATGAAAAAAGTATGTATTTGCCAACAAAGAGACACAAAAACAGTCTTGAAACCATGCAAAGAGTGTGTAATGTATATGTGTGTGTAAGATAGATAGATAGATAGATAGATAGATAGATTCTGTACAGCATCTGAAAATGTCAATGACAAACCAATTTAAAATTCTAAAGGCAATTTTGGATAACATAGTGATAGTCTGTGTCTGAGCATATTTGAGCATACACTGTTACACTGACAAAAAACATTGACCCAGATGTGATCTGATGCATTTGATGGATATAAATGGGTAAACCAAATCAAATGTGAAAATGTATGCAAATCTACTGTAAATAACACAAAACCAATATTACCAATTAGTTTGCCTAATATTCCCAGTTCACTGAAGGAGTTCTTTTGTTTTCCTCTGTTCTTCCAGTTAAAGTTTGATACCTTTAGCGAACAGGTGATTCATTACTTTTCTAACTAATTCAAATCCAAATTCAAAGTCTGTAATCAGAGTCATTTTCATGATTCTCACCCTCCATCACCCTCCACTGAAATCTCTTCATTCCTAGCCTCATCCTTAGAATCATTAACAGTTCCTCTGGATAATTCCATAATGTCATATTCTTCGTTAGCTCTGTTCCTCACATCAGCTATTACAGCTATTAAGTCCTTAGGTTGGATGGAAAGTATCATGCTTTCTTTGAAAACCATTGCGGTATAATGTGGAAACAGTATATTTCAGAGCCAGCGTAACGAGAACTGGGGTCAAAGGGCAGCCCTGATCCAGCAGTTTGTCTCTCTCGATTGAAACAGCTACAGATTCAGTATCTACTTCTGGTGCATCTCTGAGCAGGTTTTTCACAATGAGGAAATCCTGATACAGAGTTGGGTTTGACCGTTTTTGCTTTTCTATCTCGTCCTTTATATATGACAACCTCATCTTAGTGTAGAAAGTTTTGGGAGTGATCATGACAGCTGAATCTTTTGGTATCCGATCCTTTGACTGAGACACAGACAAATCAGATGTTTTGCCAGTATTGTTACAATGATAAGGTAGTCAACGTTACAAAAGTGTTGACTGTCACCATATGGACTTTTCACAGTTTCATTAAAGTGTTTCTCAGAGCAGTTAAATGCACCACTGTTGATTCTGTCATAGAGCATTTTTATGTATTGAATTAGATCCTGAATGTTGTCTTCATAGAAGGAAACTGGGATGCCTTCTGGTCTCGGTGTGTCTGACACTTGAAGAGATTGTAAAGCTGATACATTGTCAGCCTCACTGACTGCATGTGAGCATTCTTCATCCAGTGATGAACCTGTCTACTCTGTCAAAGCATCAATTTTAGCATTTAATCGTTGTGTATCTGATTGTGTGTCAGGATGTATAAGCATTATGGAAGCATTGTCAATCTCCAAGTTCACAGGACAATGGTCACACATCTCTGAGTCTCTGATTTCACAACTTCTGACACGCCACATACATTCTTCTGGAAAGAAGAAATAATCCAGCCTGGACGCAACTTGACTGTTGAATGTATGATTCTGATTTACAGGGTTCTTTCTTCCCCAGACATCAACCAGCTGAAGAGATTTCAGGAACATTTCTGCACAACAGCACAGCTTTCTGTGGATTGAGTTTTGAGTTTGAAATTCTGTTTTCAGTACTGCTAGCATTTCTAACAGTTTTCTCAATTGCTAAGACACATTTCATGAACTACACTCACTGACCAAACACTTCACTTAACATATCTGTAATGTTTGACAGAAAGAAATCAAAATATGTGTTCTCACGTGTGATAACATGTAAGCAAGGTCTATAGTTAAAAGATAAATAAATAAATACAAATATAACCGAGGTAATTGTTTGGCATTCTATGCTAATAGAATAACCAGAAGGTGTCAGTATAACATCCAAAATCACTGGGATAAACAAGAGCCAGCAAAAACATAATGGGTGCAGCTTTCATTTTGAACATAAATACAGTAGCATCACTAGTGTAAGATTAGTTATCTAAAAATCCTGCACTGGTAAAGAGGAGAAATCATCTGTAATTCTAGTTTATTTTGAATGAAATCATCACATGTAATTTGATGAAACATTGGAAAAGACAGACATACACTCTAAAAAATATTGTTTGGACGCAACAAAAAAAATTAACGCAACTTTTGAGTTATTAAGTTGAGAATGTTTGAGTTAAGGCAACTTCTTCTGAAATTAAGTTTAACTAGTAAACTATATTGTGCTATACATACTTAGAAAATAACAATTATTAAGTTGAATACTCATAAAAATTAAGTTGTTCTAAGTTGTTTTTTCACATTGTTTTAAATTTGATTCAGTCATGGATACTGGATACAAAAACTACTAAAAAATTATTTTTTGATGAAACAACACTTAATGCTGCCAGGAAAACAATCTTTTAGCATTTTCAACCAAATGCCTTCTGATTAAAACAGCATATAAGACAATGTCTAGTGAGTCTGTTCTCAACCTAAGCAAACGCTTTACTCTTAACAATTATTAAGTTGAATACTCATAAAAATTAAGTTGTTCTAAGTTGTTTTTTCACATTGTTTTAAATTTGATTCAATCATGGACACTGGTTACAAAAACTACTAAAATATTATTTTTTGATGAAACAACACTTAATGCTGCCAGGAAAACAATCTTTTAGCATTTTCAACCAAATGCCTTCCGGTTGAAACAGCATGTAAGACAATGTCCAGTGAGTCTGTTCTTAACCTAAGCAAATGCTGTACTCTTCAGCACAATGGTAATCTCCTAAAAACCACCAACATAACAGAAACACATTTAAATACTAAAAGAACCGAACACTGAACATTAATAAATCTTCTCCTGTTCTGATCTTAAATAGAAATGCATAAAATGTGAGTTTATTTCTACATTACCGCTCATTATTCAGTCACATGCAAAGCATGCTGGGAACCTATAACGTGAACTTGAAAAAATGAAGTTATGGAGCTAATTACATTGAGTTAGTACAACTTAAATAATGTTTTAAACAAACTAACACAGATATTTAAGTTGAAGTTACACACAGTATTACGTTGATGTAATTATCAACATTAAAACTTAAAATGTTTAATTAATTCAATAAATTTTAATTTTTTTACTTGCACTAATGCATTAAATTTAGTGGCAACAGATCCACTGAATTATTTTTAGAGTGTAGGCTACATTAAA